GGCACCAATAGTTAGCAATTGGTAAATATCAGGTATCCAATATTCATGTTTTTAACTTGTATATTTAATAATTTATCTCTTACACTATATAAAATTAAAAAAATTTTTAAAAATTTGTAGAACTAATAGCTAGATTATAAGAAACAATTAATTAATTTTGCATGATATAAGTAAAGTATAAAAACAAAAAAAGAAATGAAAAGATATTTAGATACTTAAAGTTAGTATATAAATGTTCTTAAAATAATACATTAATGATTAAGATAATGAAAAATCATCTATTATTTTTACTATTTTATATATATATATGGACTAATAATCTGATTTTTTTTTATCATTAGTATTATAGTTATATTAAATATTAAAAAATTTTCACTTGGCAGTATTTTCCTTGAAATATATAGTAAATTAGTAACTTTAAATAAACTTTATAAAGTTTATCAAACAACTAATTTAAAAGATGATAATAATAGTAATAGTGATGATAACAATAATTATAAGAATTAAAATATAATATCTAAAGATAGTAAAATAATTAAGATGATAATAAAAATGAGAATAAAGATAGTAATAGAGATGTTACAGTCCCTTCTCCACAATGAGATCGCTGGGTTCGTGAATAGTACCTGGTACTATTTAATTTTAAAAATGAAGTTCTTGAATAAGACCCTGGGTACTGTAAGCAGTAGCCAATGGAAATATAAAAAAATTAAAACCTTGACCCCGGAGCATCGCCCGGGTCAGAAAGCTAGTACTGTAGATATATTTTTTAAATATTAGTTATCAGAAATGGCAGGCCATCAGATTTAAATTATGCATGAGAACGGCAGACTAATTTTAATCAGTTATGGGAGGTTATCGGTTTTGAAGGATCGGTATTGACAGGGTGAACTGTATAAAAAATGTACAGTTAAACTTCTCTAAATGCATAGCCGAGGGTCCTATATGACAAAATACATTTAGGAGGTATTGCATTTAGTGAGATATTGCATTTAAAAAGATATTGCATTTAGGGAGATATTGCATTTAGGGGGATATTGCATTTAGGGAGATATTAAATTTAGGTATTGTATTTAAGAAGGTATTGCATTTTAGAGAGGTAGTGCATTTAGAGAGGCATTGCATTTAGGGAGGTATTGCATTTCGGGAGGTATTGCATTTAGGAGGTATTGCATTTGAGAAGGTATTGCACTTAAAGAGGTATTGCGTTTAGGGAGGTAGTGCATTTAGGGAAGTATTGCATTTAGAAGGTATTGCACTTTGGAGGTATGATATTTAGGGAGGTAATGCATTTGGGGAGGTATTACATTTAGAGAGATATTGCGGTATTGCACTTAGGGAGACTTTGCATTTAGGAAGGTAAAAATCTATATATATGCATTGTATGAGTTGGAGCCAAACACAACTATGCATTTAGTGAGGTTTGTTATAGATCATGCATTTAGGAAGGTTGCATCTAACTGTAATTATGAAATTTAATTTAAACTCGCGAATATTATACGATTTAATGTCATCACACGTATGTACATGCTGTACTAGTGCACAGTATGGGCATGCACTGTACTTACTTTAAAAACATACCATACTAATCTGATATAACTCCCGATTATCATCATCTTTTTGTATATTGCATTAAAATTATTTTCTTTTATTAATTAATAATTATATTATTTTATATTTTCTTTAAATTTTTCTTGTACGTAGTAATAAAATATTGTTTTTCCTATTTTTATCATTACTATTATTTAATAAAATTTGGTTAATTATTATGAATCTACCAATTTAACTAATTTAACCTAATAATTATTGTTAATTAACCTATTAAAAAAAATTGCTCGTATTTTACGCTACTTGATTTAGATAACTTTCGTATTGGTTTATCGATTTTTTTTGAGCATGATTAGCATCTTTTCTGATACAGGAAAGATGTTGTATAGAAGCTTTTTTATACCATGCTATTCACTACACTGTCTAAATAGCATTGACCTGACGTGAGCAAGGGAAAATTAATTTTATTAAAATTTTCTTTGTAGGGGGCGAAGAAATAAACGCTACTGATATTTATCTTTAATTCTGAGATTAGCTTCTAAAATGATTGTCACTAGTGTAACATTTAATTTTTGCTTTTGTTTGAGGACATGTAACGAAAAGTTATGATATAATCTAGATTCACTCGGCTCTTCCAGCCCTTAAAAAGCAACCCATACAAAATAGTTAATTCTCATCCGCACATCCCAGAAAAAAACCTTGTTTTAGCTATCAAATGAATAATTTATTTGCAATCACCGAAAACAAGCCATTCCCGGTTTTGGAAAACAAAAAATTTGGCAGATAGTATTGTTTTACTAAAAAAAATTCGACAGGATGATAAGCAACCTCTTCAATTTTGCCTAAAAAAAGACACTTTTTTCGCAACATTTTAGTTGCTTATTCTTCTAATACTTTTACAATACTTTTACGTGATTTGTTTTTTTAAACTTACCATAAAATATAAAACATTGTGAAAAATAAGCACAGCACCCTATATCTTAATTTTTCAATATCAAAGTTAATTCCGTCAATCTGTGCTGTGCTTATTCTTCACATTTTACAGTTTACGGTAATTCTTTGTTGGATTATCCTTCCTTGTTCAAAGTTTTAAAATTATTTATAATAAAGAATTTGTTTATTTTTATTGCCCTATCAAAAAACTTTGTTCAAATTTTGTCGGTAATGTTCTAAAAATTTTCTAAAGTTACCCTGTTTTTGTTCAAAAAAAAAATGTTCAGAATGGAGTCAATTTTCCGAACATGCCGTCGATTTTGTACAATGTTTATACCTAATGTTGTCAACACAAAAACTTCTTGTTTTACATCACAGTAGAAAAATTGTACAATATCGTACTGGCATTCGGAAATCGACTCAATTCCGAACATTTTTTTGGACAATGCCTACAATAATTCAACAAACTTTTTTTATAACTTAATCAAACATCTATGCCCTTAATCAGGCAGCTTTGTACTTGTCAATGTATACCTTATTTTAGAGATGTATTATTCTATTTAAAGATATAGAACACTTTTATCAGAAGATGTATGGTCGGAGGATCATGGGCATTGTTATCAAGAAAATAGTCATTTTAGGCTTGAATTTGGAGAAATGTTGTATAGAGAAATAGAATCTACTGTATTAAATACTATTTGGAACTACCGCAGCATAACCAATAAATGTGTAACAAATTTATGGTATACTTTTTATTTCTTACTTATCAATTTATATAAGTTTTAATGGGTATTCTGAAGTATGTGAGTGCGTTTATCCAAACTAGGAGCTTGAGAAGTGAATTCAAATTAATGATATAATAATAAAAGAAATTATTAAAGGTCCAAACTCTCTATTATTATTTTATTAAGTTATTTAAATATAGTAAAAATAAGCATCTAATTCTACTTAAATATTTCTTTATGAAAATAATTATTGGCTACAAGTAAATGGAACTCGTAAGAAATTATTTGGGGTAGAAGAGTCAATACCGGTTACAATATTTTTTGTTGCTAAATCATCTATAATTTGTTTCATTCGAGACGGAGATACATTTTCAGTATTGGCGAGCAATAAAGCAACTGTCCCTGTAACTATTTACGAATAAATAAATAAATAAATAAGTGGTCCAAAAAAAAAAACTTTTACAAAAAGAAATTGAATGCTAGAATATAAAGTTAATTACGAACCATGAGGTGTTGCTTGACTAGTTCCTGAATATATTACGGTTTCACTATTTATTCCAGCAGAAAGAATATTACGACCTTTATATAAAATAAAAAGAAAAGTTATTAACACATATATAAATGAAACTTTTCATAGTATTTAACTGAAATTTAATTATCACCTGGAGCAAAGATGCAAACACATTGACCAATGTTTGAGAAGCTGGCTACACTATCCGAAGTATCTTCAGTAGCGCCAACTGTTATAACGCCAGAGGCTGATGCAGGAGAGTAATTGCAAGCGTCATCAAGATTATTATTTCCTGCAGCAGCGACAACATGAATACCCATTTTTATTAATGACTCAACAGCGTTATTGAAGGATTGTTGAGCGGGACCACCTAAAGACAAGCTATAAAATGTAAATTTAAATAAAAAAAATTTTTTTTTACAAATCTAATTAAATAATTATATATAGCTTATATATAGCTTATATTTACTTGACCACAGCCTTTTTGTTAGAACTTTTTGAATATTGCGTTGCTATATAGTTCAGTCCTAGTATGACATCAGATGTTGCACAGTTTCCTTGAGAAGTACAAACTTTAATGGCTTTCAGGTCTACTTTGTTTGCCACACCGAAAGTTTTACCTGGATTAATTTTGAACAAGTATTAAAAATTTTTTTTAATTTTGTTAATAATATATTATGTAAATTACGGATTTTTAATTGATTACGTACCTCCGACCTATTGATAATATTAATGAAATTATTAAAGATTTTAAAGTTTGAATATCGATGTTAAGGATTTATTAATAAAAATTTGCAATATTTACAATTCCTGCAACATGCGTTCCATGGCTTTAGGGAAAAAACAATTTTATATATTTGTCAAATTAAAGAAAACATTAATTAAGCAAATAAAATAGATAAAGTACCCATGATCATCAGTATCAGGACAACCTTCACAGGTAGATATTTCAAACGTTGCTCGTCCTTCAAATTCATCATGATCTACTTTAATACCTCTGTATGTATGTGCGTACATATATATGCATATGCATAGATACGTAAAATTAAGCATATCTGCAGAATACAGGAATATTGATTTTGATCACTTGTAACACAATGACTTACGTGTCAACAATATAAACTTTTACTTGGGAGCCAGCGCTAGAAGGACATGTGTATTCTTCATCCAATGGAAAGTGTTCTTGGTCAATACGATCCAAATTCTATTTTAAAATAAAAAAAAATATAATTATCTATTACTATTATTATTTTGATTATTTTTGACTATTTTGAGTGATTTAATTAAAATATGCATACGGGGTTAGGTTTCTTTCTGGTATTAAGACAAGATGGATTCTTTGCGGTCGTTTTAAGTATAATATCACGTTCGATGCGAAGAATGCCCTCAAGAGCCAATAAGTTAGTAACATCACTAGGTCTAAAGTATCCAATACAAGCATGAAATCCCCCAAAACTAATATCCTGAATAATATTTTTATCTTTCAGATCCGATGTGATATTTGAAAAATCCACATCTGTTTTAATTTTTTTATTACAAAGGTCTAAAATTGTGTAAAAGTTCTTTGCAGCATTTTCTGAATCAAATTGTATAATAAATTTTTTCTCCTTTTCATTAACATTTTGCGTTAATGGACAATCAGGAACTAATCCAGCTAAAGTAACTGACGCGGTTAAACAAATAATAATAGTAAAGAATGTGAGAATTTTAGAAATGAATGAAGCAAACATTAAGGAGATCGATAATATATAATGGATAAGAATAGGTATTAGGATACGTAAGTAATGGAATATGGAATATGGATTAAAATACGTAAGTAATGGAATATGTAATAAGGAATGAACGTTAAAAATTAAGAAATGAATGAATATTTAGTTAATAAAAAATACACAAAGAAAAAAACTTGAGATAAATTTAGGTGACATCGTATTTATTATAGATGAGTATTATTCATCTAATGTTATACAGAATTTACGAGCAATTGAGTGCCAATTTCTTGGTAACGATTGTGTTCTTAATATTTAAGTTTAGACATACATACGTGTAAAAGTTGTTAATGAATAAGCTATTTAGATTAATTTCTAATTTTGATAATTTTTATGTCAACACCTGCATATCAAGCAATGTAAAATAATTTAACTTTGTATCTATAGAATAAAGCTAACTATAAATGATAAATAACGATTTGTTCAAGTTTCATACTAATAATTTTCCTTCAACAAGGTTACAGGTTAACGGTTTTACACATACACAAAGAGTTTGTTATAATAAGTTGAATTGTATCACATCTCTTATGAAAATATTCGTCTCTCTTTGTTTATTAACAACCAAACATCTTTTTTTTTTTGTACGAAGTGAAACTTGGCATTATTTGGTATCACTTGAACTTTATCACTATTATTGGAAATTTATTATTGTTTGCCTTTTTTTTAGAACTTGAATGAATCATATTATAATTTATACAAGGTTACATTATACAGGGTTACATTATACAAGATTAATGTACATAATCATTATATATTGATTATATATTGATTATTTATGAATCAAAAACTGTTGTGGCACCTCCGAAAGTATTTCAAGTATTTCGGCGTTAATCGCTGAAGCAATCAAATAGCGTTGAATACTTTCTACAAATGTTTTCAGAAAACATTTTCAACAAATCCAAAATAGTTTCAATGTTAAATATAAATCACAAAGTAATTTCAATATAATCTCTACAATAAAGCTATTCTTCTATCTCTTTTGCAGGGATAAGGATCGGTTGGAAGAGTATGCAACAGCGGTAGCATAAATCGGTTTTTTTTTCAATAATTACAATTAACAATGTAAAGAATTCTGTAAAGAATTCTGCAAAGAATATTTCAATATTTACTAATACAAATCAGGTTCATCTTTCATAATAACATAATGCATACTAACATAATTCGTTATACTTGAAGTTAGCGTCTGAATTTTAAATAATTGTAGTACATCTGATTTCAAGAACTTGGACTTGAAATGGAAATACTTATTTATAAACTCTAAAAAGGAAACATAAAATAACTACGTACGCACGTGACCTAGGAATTTATGGTAGTTAGATTCTATAGGAATTAATATTCCTTCACTTTATATAAAATTTCATTCCAGTCATTATTTCAAAAGCAAGTTTAACGTTCATACATATTTTCTCCCTTTTTTTTTTTTTTATGTTCTTTGCTATACGCACGTGTAGTGCTCAATACACAAGTATACAAAGTTGGGATTCGAAGTCTGCAAGCTGCAACAATATTTCCGAAACAAATCTGAATGTACATGTGGATTCAGCTTATTTGAAGTGCACAAATTGATTCAGCTTATAAATTTGCAAGATTTTGATTAAATATTTAGAATAAATATTTACATGCTCAAATAATTAAATTGTTATAATTTCAAAAAATTCAATTCGGATAAACACAATATGTATTCTTCGATTGGCTAGTTTCCCTTTTTGGGTTTGTATTTTTCTTACACAAGAAATTTCCAATCTCAGTCGGACAATAGTTCTATCACTATGAATTAAAATATGTATCATGTAATACTGTAATACCAAATTAAGGGTTACTCTGCAGATAAATACGTAAAACGTAGAGATGGGCAAAATGCGCAGACGAGACCATGCACATGATTAATAAGTATAGTAAGATAAAATTAGAATTTTAGGTTACATCTTAACCTAAATCTTATAACCAAATTCTGGTTTAACAACTTATTCATACAAAAGCTAAAATCTAAAAAAAAAATTCTTTTCAATAACTATGAACTTCTTAATAGCTTATATTGGTGATTCCAACGAATCAGTTATTTACGGAGCTAAAGTTATATAAAACAAATTCTATGATGAAAATTCCAAACTAGAAAACAACTGTTCTACATTAATTTGAAATTTGGTTTCATTTGTTAAATTGTAAAACAAATAATCTTTTGTATTATAGATGGAATGATAATTACATATCATGATATTTTTGTTTATATTATCACATAATAGCTAACGGTTATAAATGAGTGTTATCCAATTATAGCTAAAGTTTTTAACATACATCTATGTACGCTATATCTATTTAATTATGGTAAATCATAACGGTAAAGCTAGTATTGTGATAAACATGCCTAACCGACACGGACTAAACTTTTTGCATAATTTCAAAAAATTAGTTTCTCGCTTTTAATTGGTCATATGTTGATTTACAGTTAAGGATGGCTCCGAAAGTGGGTACTTTCGGTACCTACCGAAATCGAAAGTCTACCGAAAGTACTTTCGAACAGGAT